CCCGGAGATCGATCATTTTTGCTAAAAAAAAAAGCGGACAGAAACTGTTTGCATTCCCAATCGTCGGTGATGGAATGAGACGATGAAATTTCCAAGTGTTTTTTCACCCATTAGTGGGTAAAAAATTTACCCATTATGCAATCGTGAACTGATTCTTTAAATGGGTATTTTTTCACCCATTTTATGATATCCAAATTCCCCCATATTTTGACAGCTGCATACATGGTTTGAAAATGGGTATTTTTTTTACCCATAAATGGGTTTTCACGAAACACCGTGTATAGGGATTTTCACGTCCGGTTGTATTGGTGCGATATGTGAGAGTGTGTTAGTGAATATCCGAGGAAAATACATAAAAAATCGATTTCAAACTCATTTTTACAGATCTACTTTCATACATTTTTTAGGTTAGCCAGAGGAAAATAATAAACAACTTTACACGGTGTTGCTCCCGCTAGAGCTACACGCTTACTCGAAAGTACGCATTTAATGAGTATATTGTACTCATTTTTATCGAAGACAACAAATCAAGAAGACTGGCAACTTTGCCAGAATCCAAGCGACAGATACAGTAGCGCTGCACTTGAGTGAAGGTGGAAGCAACGCATAGAAAAATGAGCAATACACAAACCCTTCTTCTGAGGTTGTAATCTTTGCTATCAAATTCGTTCGAAGCATTTACCTTTGAGCGGCAGATGACGCGATTGTACCTGTCTCATAGCGTTTGTATGAGAAAATGGAAGAGTTGCCAGTCTTCTTGATTTGTTGTCTTCGTTTTTATATTTGTTCTTATATGTCAAAAAATGAGTATTTTCATAAAGATTGAAAAGGGTATTTTTTCTTCATTTTTGAAAATATCTTAAGGCAGCAAAATGAGTAATAATAATAATAATTGTCAACAGTCTGATGAACTGAAAACATAAAAGCACGGAGTATTCGGTCGAAATTCTCGATGAGATTCTCGATAAAAATGCTCCAACTAGTGCTGTTATTATAAGATCACACAACGTAGATGTGATTGAGCCAGTGAATTCCTTTCGGCCGATGTTCATTAAGGCTAAAACCGAGCACAGTAAAATAGTGCTTTGGACGGCAGTTCTGATTGTTACGAGGTAAGGAAAATACATGAAACCATGCTGAAATTCTAACAAGTGTTCCTGTTCCAGATTAGCGGAGATCTTCGAGAAGGAAAACGACATGCTGAATTATTTGAAATTTTCGATTAGCACCATCCATCATTGGATTGATTCCTGCAGTGATCATATGAGGAAAACGATCTTACAGAAGCACTACTTAATGCTTCGTTTGGTCAATGAATGTATAAGAAATAGCTTAATGTTCATCAAAACATATTTGGATCTGTTTAATATTGATTCTGGCTCAATATGAATTATGAAAAAATTTGACAATTATTGCTTTTATATATAATATAATTTTATATATAATATTATATAAATATGATAAACATAGTTGAAGATGCTAATTTCAAATAACAGACTGTAGTGGTAATTTTTATACGATAGATGGAGTAGATGAAAGCATAGAGTTGATAGTTCCGTTAGAGTACGGCAGTGTGAAGATTGTATATAGATATTAGACAAGCGAGCTAGGACAACTTTTAAGGAAGGTACAAATCGGTTTTTTCATCTCTCTTTACCAAACTCCCCCTTTGGAGAGGGATGGTAAGGGGTGTCCCCCCCCCGGAACTATCAACTCTATGCTTTCATCTACTCCATCTATCGTATAAAAATTACCAGTACAGTCTGTTATTTGAAATTAGCATCTTCAACTATGTAAATCGTTGACTTCACGTAGAAGTAATACTAAAAACATATAGTCAAAGTATGATAAACATGTTAATAACAGGCAGCTCCATGAAGCAAACATGGGCAGAAAGAACAAAATACCCATTTTTTGAAGTATTCGTCGAATACTCATGAGTAAACTCGGTTTTACTCATTTAATGAGTTAAGCCACTTTTCTTAAAAATGGTTATTTTTTACTCATTAATGGGTACTTTCAAGTTACCGTGTAGGCATGGATCCGACCGACGTTGTTCAATTGGTATCCTGTCACTCCCAACATACACACTTAATCTAGCTCGGTAAAATCTTCAACAGCCGATTACCTCGGCATTTACTTTTGCTGATATCTCTGCAAAATATCTGTTTGTTAGCTGATATCTCAGCAAAATCATATTTGCTTGCTGAGTCTCGGCAATTGTTTTACTGAATCTCAGAAAAATAAATTGCAGAACTATTCGGCTGTTGGAATCTCGGCGAAAAAATTTAAGTGTGTAGTTTACCCATTTTTTGATAGATTCAGTTTTGACCGATCAGGGTGGATTTTACTCAAATTTGGGTAGTTTTTAAATAGCGTGTACTGAGTACCAAAAATATCTAATTTTCTTTCATAAGGGCCAATGTCACAAAAGTAAACAGGAATTTCTTGAGAATGAAAACTCGCGCAACCACCACGATGTTTGTGTATAGAGAAAGTCCCCATAATTGATAGAATTGCTGGGTTACATGGATTGACTTTGAATTACAAGATATTTACTAAAGAAGCCATTGACCCATTGCTTACGTTTCCGACATTGGCCCATATGAAGACTCAGTGTCGAATGACGAAAATTTAATTTTGACAGATCGATGTCCAAGCACCGACAAACCGACATGAATGATTAAACAAATTACAAAGAAATTTCTGCTCAAAGCACAAAACTGACATCTGCCGCCGTGTTCGCGGAAAATGTTTATCCTAGCCAAGAACACGCGTGCAAAATTTATGAGTTGGTTCGTGTCTAATCTATTTCGGACAAATTATTTTTATCTAGATAAAACATTTCTATGGTTTTGACAGATGGGATAGCTGCACATTTGAATCAGCCGTTATGGATTCTCGATCAAGAGTTAAGTTTAAGTTTCATGTCGGTTTGTCGGTGGTCCAACTTTACCAGCTATACCACTGAGGAAACACAAAAAAGGGGTCAACTTTTAGTCAGCAGTTTTGCATGAAGTTCCACATATGTTATGTGTTATAAGTCAGGTAACACAGTAGGGGCACGCAATAACCTTTAACTCCAACGCAGGCAACGGCTGTAATTAAATTAATTCCATTAACTACTGCTTTAATTACATTAAGAACAATTGACCACTTTGTCAAGCAGTTTTAGCGTGACTTTCTACCAGCGATTTCACAAAACTGGACCAACTAATTTCTATTTTTTTTTATGAAACGCACAAATGTTGGCTACTTTTCTCGAGGTTCTAGAAGAAAAAATCTCAAAATACTGTTTCATTTCAAAGTTCGAGTGGTAGTAAACGTCATTTTATCTGCTCGAATGAAGTGGTTAATTAACTACTTTTTAACTCCATTAATTACAGTTGAAATTTCGTAATTAAAGTACATTAATTACATTTTAAATACTTTTAATTACATTAATTACGGGTAGATAATTTTAATTACCGTCAGTACTACTTCAAACGCATTAATTACTTTAAGTACTTTTGATTGCATTTTAACTTCAACGCACCGGTTCTTTGTATTTCGTGCCCTTCGGGAAATGGATCTAATGTTGGCCTATGGATCTAAAAATTTATTTATTTATTTATTTATTTATTTATTATTAAATTTTCCTTAGAACAAATGCATCATCTGGACAATAGAAATAGCTACCAAGCTATTGAAAAATCGCCAAAAAATGCTTCCTTAGAAATGTATGTATGGGCCCAATATTAGGGACGCTTAGGCCGACATTAGCAACATTAACCCTATAATAATAATAACAATTTATATATGAAAGGTGCAAGAAGAATAAGACTACTTAGTAGTGTATTACCGTATTACACATAAAACCTTGCTTTCAGAAGGCCACAATTGGGTTCTTTAGGGGTTTTAACACCGACAAACCGCCATGAATGATCATACAAATTACAAAGAAATTTGTGATCAAAGCACAAAACTGACATCGCGGAAAGTATTTATCGTAGCCACGAACACGCGTACAAAATGTATGAGTTGGTCCGTTTCTAATCTATTTCGGACAAATTAAATATTTTTATCTAGATAAAACATTTCTATGGTTTTGACAGATGGGATCGCTGCACATTTGAATCGGTCGTTATGGATTCTCGATCAAGTGTTAAGTTAATGTTTCATGTCGGTTTGTCGGTGGTTTTAAGGTAATCTGCATCACAAATTCAACCGAAATCCAAAATTTCATCAATTTTGGAGCACTGGAACTGTTTTAAATAAGTGTGATTACATAGGCAAAAATCACCATCTTAGCGCACCTCGGTGGTACTTTGTATGGGAGTGAGCTGTCAATTTGTTGGTTTTGTGTCAAACAGTGAAGTGATTAGTTTGCTTTAAGTCTTGATTTAAAAATCAAGATAGAAGTAAATGGGATCGAAAAAAATATCGTTGTGCTCAGAAAACGAAGCCCTTTCAGATGACGTATAGAAACCGATATATTTTTTCGAAATTAAAGGAACCAATGAGCGATTTAAGGTGTAATGACCAATCACGATCAGTGTGACCCTCTGAAAGCGAAATCGGCAGGTTTTGTGTGTCATACACAAACGTTACATCCACTTCCTTCATCTTACAGATAAAAAATCATAATTTCTCTTAGTTTCATAATTCCGAATGATAACATATTAGCTGTAATGAGCAATTGCAAGCTTGTTTGGAAATGAAAATATTTCTCGGTCGCAAATTTCCACTGTCCCCAATTATACATAGGTTTCACTTACCTCCTGAGATCGCCCGAAAATAATCCGATAGCTTCGCAGCAGCATGATCACCTTCAGGCACTATTCAAATGCAACTAACAAGTTCTCAACAAACGGTGCGTCGCAATTCCACGACCAGGCTTCCTCAAAACATTTGGCCTCCAAAACGAATCTGGTTACGCAACGTTTAACGCCTTGTACCTGACCCACTGGACACACCACCGGATATCAGATTACTACCCATATTTTTCCATCCGCATAAACTTTATTTCAGGTTACATCCAAATCATGAAACTTGACACCAACTTCTCCTACACTCGTGTTGCGCACGCCTTCCTCTCTCTCTCTCTCTAATGCGAATTGGACCGTCTCACCCAGAACCGCGCTCGGTAGTCATCGGAGCAGGTGAGGAAAGCGGGATGATTCGGTGAGTGGACGATGAAGCGAACCGCTCCGTTGTGACCCAGTGACATCAGATGGCAACGGGAGGCATTCCGGGAGTTCCACGAACAGAGCGACGTGGTCACTTCGTCCGGGAACAAAACGTAGTCTTCGGTATGGTTGAAAACGGCTTGCGTTTGGTGCTCCTGCTTGCCAGTGGTACCGGCACCCGTATAGGCAATCAGACAGCGACTGGTGCTGAGCTCCCACAGTTTGACCAAGGAGTCTTCTCCGGACGAGAGAAGATATTTTCCATTCCGGGTGAACACGACCGAGCAGATTTCCGACCCATCGTGAGCCTGAGCGAAGGTGTTGATGCAGCGTCCGCTAACGCCGTCCCACAGTTTGATCGATCCGTCCATGCTTCCGGTGGCGTAAACCTTGGCGTTCGGGGCGTAGCGGACGCAGGTTATTGAATCCGTGTGCTGTTGGGATGGAATCGCGCTTACGAAGCACTGACCTGTTTGAACGTCATACGCACGCAGCACATGGTGATCGGTTCCAACGGCCATGTAGTCTCCTGAGGGATGGAACGCCAAACACCGAACCGGTACACAATCGCTCAGCACCCGGTAGGCTTTCTTGACGGAAGCTTTGGAGATGTCGAACAGTTTTACAGTGTGGTCGCGCGAAGCCGAAGCCAGAATCTGATCTTTCGGGTGAAACTCCAAGTAGGACACCTCATCGGTGTGATCGTACAGAGTCCTAATAACGGGGTGACCCTGCTGCTCCCTGCCAGGTTCCTGCTCGTCCGGTGCCGACTTAGCCAGCATCCTGTCTACGTCTAAGATCTTGATACTGGCATCGACACTCCCGGTGGCCACCAGTTGCCCGTCGTAGCTGAAACATCCCGCCCGGCAAGCGGCTTTGTGTGACGTGACGTACGCCGTCTCGTAGGAAGCCGGTTCCGGTGCCAGGGCACTGCTTTCGATTTCGAACTCCAAATCCAATCCGGAAGTGACTTCATCGAAGACGTTAGTCGGCTTACTGGAATCGATCTGGCTGGCCTGACGGAAGATATTCAGCAGACGGTCGCTCGGAGGACACGGCGGATCGGCACGGACCAAACCGGTCAGCTCGACTGCCACCTGGTGATGCCCATCGTAGAAGAGCTGGCTACAAAGGGAAAGTCGTGATTGGGGAAACTTTCGTTTGGGTGGAACATCGGAATTTCGCTACATTACCTGATCATTAGACGATACAGCAGTTCCCGACATTTGACCACATTCTTCGGGTCCACAAAATCCGAGTCGTTCATCATTTCTGATAGTTAATTTACAAATTAGTCCGGATTCTTCACAAAATGCTCGTACCAATTTGAATGTAAACACACCGGTAAGTAAAATCTGAAAGCGTCGTGTCAAATTTTTGGGTGGCATCAGAGGCAGAGGCGAACTCAGGGTGCTATTCTTCGACCGAGTGCGATGATTTTTTTTATGTGATTGTCGGCATAACGAACCGATTCCTATTTTTGTTGATTTAAAATTAAAACTTTTGACAGTTCTGGTTTCGGAATTCTGAATCACAACACACGCTCGTCGTTGGGTTACACAATTTTCCCATCGCGCCCGGTGACTTTAGTTGTAATTTCTCGGATCAATCCCCCACAAAACCATGTCCAAGTACAAGGACCTCGTGAAGCTATCGACGACCTACGCCCGCCGAATGAATCACCTGTCGAATCGAATCTTCGGCGAAGTGACGCGACCGACTAACCCGCAGTCGATGAAGGTGGTGAAGATGTTCAGCGAGGAACCGATCCAGTGCCGGGACTATGTGGCCAACTGGTACCCCCGGCATGTGGAGACGCACCTGCTGGCGATGAAGCTGCGCGAGTACGGCCTGTACCGAGACGAGCACCAGGATTTTAAGGAGGAAATGAAGCGACTGCGGGCTCTGCGAGGCAAAGCACCGCCCAAGAAGGGCGAAGGCAAACGTTCCAAAAAGTAGATGAAGTTTCATAAACGAGCAAAGTAAGTTAACTTTTTAAAACGTTTATTAATGTTTCCAGTGAATATTACAAATCCTTTCAAAAAAAAATCTTCTCATTATTTGCAATATGTCGTCTACTTGAAAGGAACAGGTTGGCTTAATGCTAGAACTGTAGGTTTTAAATAATAATTCATTATTTTTGTTCACAATAACTTAACAATTCAATCATCTCCCTCCGTTTAATACACTTTCCTACTACACGAGCTTCCTGCACGCATCTAGAAGAAGATCTGGTTCTGGCTGCTTCCGGAACCAGAACTGCCATTGTTGGAAATTGATCGACTATCCTTCCGCCTGGGAGGTAGTTCAAAGTGCCACTCGCTGTTATCGGACGAATCTGATCCGCTGATCAGTGGCTTCCTGAAATGGTCACCGGAACCCTCCGCTTCCACCGCTGCTATCGGCGCAATTGAGTGCAGCTGCAGCTGTGAAGTTGATTTGCTCGTCGACGGGCATTGCTTTAGTGGAGGACGGGCCTTGATGCCGTAGGTGGTTGGCCGCTTGCTCGGCTGGGTCGAAAGCATGATCTTTAAGAGTTGATACTGGAAAAAGGAAACGTAATTTTAGCTAAATTGAACGCAGACATTAAATTCGTACTCACCTCATCCGGATAACTCTCTGCGAACTTGGGTGGGAACTTGTTCTTTCGTACGTCCTTCAGCGTGCAGATCCGCTCCATCTCGGTGTCGAAGCTTAGCAGCAGCTCGAACAGGATCAGCCCCAGCGAGTAGATGTCCACCTTGTAGTTGTAGGGCAGTCCTTTCTGCTGCTCCGGGGACATGTACAGTTGAGTCCCGACCTGTCGGGTGTGTCGGTCCTTCGCTCCTATTATGTCCATCGCAGGTAGATTGTTGTCTTTGTCATACTGCAAGTCACTCGAGTCCGTCACCAGTCCAAAATCGCCGATTTTGATGCGACCATCGAGCGAGAAGAAGATATTGCTAGGTTTCAGGTCCCTATGAATCAAGCCCTTCAGGTGAACGTACTCCACGGCGTCCACGATCTGTTCGAAGATGGGAATGATCTTGTTCTGCCGGGCGGACAGATCATTCAAGGTTAGCCACTCCTTTAGGGACTGTTTTTGGCACAGTTGCATCTGGATATAAAGATAAATCTTGCTGTTGACGGTACTGGCCGCGGCGTAATTGGCGCTCGTATTGATACCATCCGTCATATGAGTTTTGGTTGAGATCGTCCGAATAACACTACCGGTACTGTTCAAATCCAGCGAAACTGGTCTCCGATGGCGGAACCTTCGCGCTGGTCCAATGGCTGACTTTTGTGGTGTTTCGCTAATCGAAATCACATGATGACCGTTGGAAGCCTCATTCTGTGAGGGTTCTCTGAATACTATGTCCATTGAATCACCACCGGCATCGGTGGTATCTGCAGGATCATGTTTAAACTCGATTTGAAAGGAATCATCATCGGTATCGCTGCGAAGCGATTTGCCCGGATCGGCTTGGAACTGGATGAAAGAGCAACTGTTGGACCGATCTATCCCTCCGGTGTGGGATAACGAGAAGCTTGGTTCAGGAAGCTTCGTCAACCAGGGCTGTTGTCCACTGGAATGTTTCGGGTGGTTGTACTGCGAAATGCTGTCACTGGTGAAAATGATCTTAGAATTCGGCGGAGATATCTCCGTTGGAGTTTCGATATCGATCGAAGTCGATAGGCAATTCCGTTGAATCCAGATCTTGTCCTGGCTCTCCTGCCACCCGGGAGGTGGCGTCTCAGTCCAAGCATGAAAGTATCGAACTATGTTACTGTGCTCACAATGAGCCAGCGTTCTGACCTCTCGCATAACACGATCTTTCGATTCCTGCTTATTAGGCAATACCACCCGCTTGATTGCGTAATGACAATCGTCTAGCTTATTCTTCACCTCAAACACCACACCGAAGCCACCTTTTCCAAGACACTGCACCAGCTCAAAGTCCTCCTGAAAGCGTGAAACGAAATTCTCACTATTCGATTCCGACAAACTTCGAACGCCGGTGTTCCGAGCTGCCGCTTCGAGGGGTGCAAATTCTTCCTCCGTCGCTTCGACGGCCATCGGCACCGGAACCTCTATCTGTCGTTCCACGAACACCACTACTTCCTTCTCGCTCTTGAATCGCAACATCACATTCAGTAGGAAAGCCGTTGTCGCCGATATTACCAGAATCTCCTTCCACCAGAACCAAATCGAAATGATGATCACCTTAACCGGAGCATCCGGATCCATCGCAAAATCAAAAATGGAACTTTCATTCTGCAAACCACCATCCGTAATGGCCGGAGTCGTGGAACTATTCGAACACAGTTCGTGATCCTTCCGGTCCAAATCTTCCGGGGTGAACAAGAAGAATCCATCTCCATTGACATAGTTCGACTGGTACAGAACCGACCGAGCAATCGCCGTCGATTCTGCATACTGCGAATCTTCCGCATCTCGGTCCTGCTCGCTTCCATCCGTCAAATAACCCATAACCTTAGGCCTGGCAGGGTACGGCTTCCAAGGGATGGACGGAAATTTACCCTCATCCGTCAACAGAACCGTCTGCGCATTCAATGTCTGCCGTACCATCAGCGCCGTCGACTCCTGAATGTACAGCTGTTTCTGATGCATCCCCAAATACAGCGAAGGATTGATCATCCCATTATTGCTTCCCCCGCCGTCATCACCTCCCATCGACTGCCCATTCGCATTCCACACCCAATCCGCCCCGCGGAACAAGTCCACGCTCATTATGTCATTCTTGTCGCCAGCCCTCCAGGCACTCACAATCGGATGCTCAAACTTGTACTGCCAAACAATCACGCCCGGTTCCGTCTTCCGGACAGCACAAATCACCCCCTCCGGAATCACAACCTTCAGTTCCAAATCCAAAATTGCCGCATCCAGCGAATCCTTAGCTTCACCTCCTCTGCAATCCTCATTTTTCAACATCTCCAACTCGTGATGTCCGATGCTGAAATTCCACCGCTCACTTCCGGTTCTCGATTCAACCGCCCGAACCGTCTGCGTCTGCCTACGAATGACCACCACATCGTCCTGTAGCGGATCATGCTGCAGCACCGTTTCCGCCCCTTCCCTCGGGGGCCCATTCTTCACGTTCTCCTCCAGAATTTCCGTTGCATTACGACACCCGCGCATTGTACATTCATAAATCACATGCCCGGTGCGGGTCGAAACGCCGTACGATCGAGTCTCCTTCCCTCCGGAAATGACTAAATCGTCGGAAAATTTGAACGACGAGTTCAGCAGATCTTCCGCACTGAACGGGATCGGCTCGACGGTGTCGCCGTCGAACTTGTACAGGCCACCACTGAGCGAAGGAATCATACGGACCCATTTGCCGTTGTTGGTCAGCTCCAGCCGGTGGATACTGGAAGATAACAGTGCACCCGGGCCGGTCTCTACGCTCCAAAGCAGGCTACCTCCGTTTATTAGGTCCAACGCGGAAAGACGACCGTCCAACGTGGTGACGTAGAGTAGTCTGGAATGAGGGGGAGATTGATAAGCATTCGGCCGTGAATTTCGGGGAAAAGCATGACATTTTTGTCCCCTCGGAATCGCTTGAAAAAATATCCTTCCTACTTATTTAAATTATGTTAACAATACTAAAGTCAACGTTCAGAAAAAGGAAGTAAGATAGTGTTTGAATAATATAAATGGAATGCCAATGCGTCTTTGCGAGCTCAAAGCATCTACCAACGATAATTCAATTCAGGGTGTTTACTCATGTTGCTAAATAAAATTCCAGATTTTTCCAGAAATTCAACAAAAACACCGAAGACACCATATCAAGAAGACTGGCAACTCTTCCATTTTCTCAAACAACCGGTATGAGACAGGCACAATCGCGTTATCTGCCGCTCAAAGGTAAATGCTCCGAACGAATTGGTTCCATCCGTTCCATCCTCAGAAGAAAGGTTTGTGTATTTGCTCATTTTTCTATGCGTTTGCGTCCACCTTCGCTCGAGCGCATCGCTACTGTGTATGTCGCTCGCAAAGTTGCAAGCCTTCTTGATATGCTGTCTTCGGTAAAACACCAAAGGCCCAAACACAATGACAGCGGCAGCGGAAAGCCCGATCTGAGTAAGCCTTCTTGTCGAATTGAAAACTAGTTAGAACCTGAGGGTTAGAATTAAATCGACTTCTGTTAGGCATCTTGTTGTCATTTATGACAACTGTCAAACTTGCCTTTTCCGTTCCGCTTCCGCCCACATTACGTTTGGGCTCTAACCCATGTCCCACAAACGTTTTTACTTATTGTGCATGCGACTGAAAGCTGATGGGACGTTTTCGTTGGTAAAACTTGAATTTCCTATGTCATCAGTGGAGATTTTGACGTCGGAAGTCTCAACTCAGACTCACCAACTTCAGTTGATGCTAAGTTGTTTAACAAATTTGTAGACATATAGAGGAAATGTAGGTAATGTCGGCCTACATGTCCCTAATTTGGGCCCATCGCTAAAAGTCTGCTATTTATCAATTTTATCTAGATGACGCATTCCTAGTTGAACACTCAGTCGGTTAACAACGTCCCGGTCTCAGTCGCGCGGCATCTAGTTTTTTTTCGGTGTTTTTTCCGCCCGAGCGGTTTTTTCACCCCCCCATTGGGTGCCCCAAGTGACCAGTGTGCAACAGAGGAAGTGGAATTCCATGGGCCGAGCCCCTTGGAGTTGCCATCCAGCTTTAGTTCACCCCGGTAATCCATCCGGTCGTCAAGCCATCATCGTGCCGACCCACCAACACCAATCATCACCACCAGCAGCAGCAAACGGACCATCTAGCTGCAACGGCTGATAGGTTGTTTACAACCGGCATAAGTATTAGACAATACATTTTGTAAGTCCATTGCCTCCCTATTGTAGTTTAATTTTGCCTCGTGGCGCGTGACTCTGTCTCTCACCCCTGGTAGGGGAGTATGGGTCATAGTGAGACAACTTTTTGCAAGTAGATATAAGTTTTTTTTGTTTTTTTTTTTTGTTTCGATTTTTTTTTTTCTTTTTGATTTGTTCGTACGTCGGGCAAAAAATTTAATTACTAGTAACTAAAATTAATTAATTAGTGAAGGTTTTAATTTTTTTTCCTTCTTAAGTGGTTGCGCACCGCTTTTGCGCAACACCTATGGCATCTTCCGATGCCTACGTTACGCGAACCAGATACTATGAACCGTCTTCGAAAGGACCATGGGTTGTCTTTTTTCGGCCCAAAAATAAACCTTTGAAAACTCTCGACATAACGAGAGATTTGCTGCGTAAGTATCCGGGAATCTTGGTACATAAGGAGAGATTCAATAAACTGCGTGTAGAAGCACCGACTTATGATGTGGCAAATAAAATTGCTGAACATGAGCTGTTTAGTGTTGAGTACAACATCTACATCCCTTCTCGAGATGTGGAGATAGAAGGTGTGGTCTCCGACGCGAGTCTGAGTGTCGAGGACTTGAAACATGCCTCGGGAACTTTTAAAAACTCGACATTCGCTACCGCGCTAGTGAAGATACTGGATGTAAGGCAACTGCATTCAGCATCTTTGCTAGACGGTAAAAAAGTTTATCAACATTCAGACTCGTTCCGGGTGACTTTCGCAGGTTCAGTTCTCCCAAACTTTGTTAAAATTGATGGTGCTTTTTTTCCGGTGCGGCTGTTTGTACAGAGGGTATATAATTGTACCAACTGCAAAAGGCTGGGACACTCGGCCAGCCATTGCGGCAACAAAACTCGTTGTGGCAAATGTGGTGAAAACCACAAAGAGGATTCTTGCCACAAAGAATCAGTAAAATGCGCTTACTGTGGCGAGAATCCTCACCCCTTGCAGGAGTGCCCGATGTACAAGCAGCACTCCGATAAAGTGCAGCGTTCAATCTCTGGACGCTCCAAGCAGACTTATGCGCAAATGGTGAAGGCTGCATCAGCCGTCCAAGATGCAAACCAATTTTCGATTTTGTCAGCTGAAGAATCGGACTCTGACTCATCGGATGAAGGTGATTCTACGGTGGTACACGCACCTTCAAAAATGGACGGATCCTCAAAAAGAAAATGCCCCTCCCCGAAAGTGCGCCGTAAGAAAACTAAAGTCACCTCCAGACGATTGCCAAATTCCCAGGGTAATGGGGATGAAAAAACAAAACCGAAGGCTCCTGTTGATCCAATCCCTGGATGCAGCAAGAATTTTCCGCCATTGCCCAACAAAGATAAAAAAAATAAAAAAGCTGCTCCTCAAACTTCTCAAAAGAAATCCAAGTCCGAACGAGGTTTGCTAGCTTTTTCGGACATTGTGGAATTCATTTTAAATATGTTCAACATACAAGACCCTCTTAGAAGCTTAGTTTCTGCCTTGCTTCCAACGTTAGAATCATATCTTAAGCAATTGACTGTTTCATGGCCCCTCCTTGCATCAATCATATCTTTCGATGGATAATTCGTCGAACGAGGTTGAAGATATGATCACTGTGCTACAGTGGAACTGCCGTAGTCTAGTGCCTAAACTAGACTCGTTCAAATTTTTACTTCACAATTCTGATTGTGATATATTTGCTCTCTGTGAAACATGGCTTTCTTCCGATAAAGAACTCAACTTCCACGATTTTAACATTATTCGCCTGGATAGAGACGATTCTTATGGAGGAGTACTTTTAGGGATCAAAAAGTGCTACCCTTTCTACAAAATTTCCCTTCCTGCTCTATCAGGCGTCGAAATTGTCGCTTGCCAAATAAATGTGAAGAACAAAGATCTTTGCATAGCTTCAGTATACGTTCCACCAAGAACCTCCATTAGCCGTAGTCAACTCTGGAATCTAGTTTCGATTCTTCCATCCCCAGTATTAATTCTGGGTGATATGAACTCTCATGGTACTGGGTGGGGTGATCTACACACTTAATCTTATATTTTTATCTCGGTAAAACAGATTGCTGAACTAAATCGGTAAAACACGATTTTTGCTGATTTCTCGTTAGAAAACATGTTTTTACTGAATATCGGTATACACAGTTAACGAATTTTGGTTATATGAAAGTATTTACTGAAGTTCGGTAATGTTGTTTACCATGAATTTCGTTAAAATCTTGCTTCACCGACTTCGGTAATATAAAGAGACGAACCTCGGCAATTGAAAATAAGAGTAAATATCTGTCAGTGGTGCACATTCATTGTCAGCCATTTTGTCAGAGAGTTAGTCGTCTGGTGCGTGCTTATAGGCTTGCTTATAGTGCGTTTAATTAAATAAAGTGAGAAATGCAGGAAATATTGCGGCAAATCCATGGTGAAGGAGAAGCTGTAAGCGAAAAACTGCGTCAACTATTCTGTAAGTACTAAATCTTTATTTTTTTCGATTATACAGATAGGAAATGGCTTACGCTGCTTTTTTTGCAAGCAACTAGTTCCGGGGCACGCTGATGGGCTACACCGCCATATAAATTTTCACCTCAAAGAAAATCATTTTAATGCAGACATGATTTCATATGACTGCACTTTTTCAAAGTGTAACATGAGATATGCTCACTTCACATCTCTCAAACGGCACATTATTCAAGAACATCCAGCGATACCAGATGAAATCATTGCTCCCCTGAACGCCCCCCTCAATATTGAGTTCAATCTTCCTTTAAAAAAAGCTAGGTTAGAATCACAGCCAAATCCACCCGTAGAGAATTCCTCAGCAAATAAGGCCCATGAAGAAGATAGTGAAATTTTCATCGAAGACGATATAACTATGGAGCAAATAAAGAGAACTGCTGGTTTAGGAATTTGTCGACTTGCCGGCGATGTTGCCTTACCTCAGACAAAAGTTTCAGAAGTCATAAAATTGTGCGAAAGTTTGATCGCAATGGCAACGGAACGTCTGAAGAATATTACTGTTTCTTTTTTAAAGAAAAAGAATGTACATATTAAGGAGAAAATTGCTGTAGATTTTCTCAACGAATTTCAATTTACTGAATTATTTGTTGACGTAACAACTCATCCGAAACGGATACAATTTTTGGAGAGAACAGTTGTTAGCATTCCGCAGCCCGAAGAGAAAATGCTTGCTTATCGCGAAGATGTGCGCCATGTCCAAGGAGTGCACAAAAAAGTTAGAGTGAATGAAACTTTTTCGTATATTCCTATTATCAAAACTTTGGAGTTAATCTTCAGAAACCCAGCAAACCGTAAATTGTTAGAGGAATCTGAAAATGAGCAGCGAACTATTGGTGGAATAAAAGAATATGGATCTTATTGTACTGGCGAATCATATAAAACGAGTGCCTATTTTCAAGAACATCCAAATTCAATCAGACTGAGTATTTATCAGGACGATTTAGAAGTAGGAAACGCGTTGAGTAGCAGAGCAGGCATCAACAAAGTGTCCTGTTTTGCGTTCAAAGTTCAAAACATTCCGGACAAGTATAATAGCTCTCCAAAAAGCATCTTCCCAACGCTCTACTGTACATCAGTCGATGCGAAGAAGCACGGGTACAACAAAATATTACAACCATTAATTTCCGACTT